GGTCTGGCCTGGCACGGCCGCCGCCGTCCCGGGGGGCCCCTCCCCTCCGCCGGGGGGGCCCGAGGGGACCCGGCGGGGACAGCGCTGCGGGGGGCGGGGGGACAAAGCGACGCCCCCCTCCCCATCCCTGTCCGGTCCCCTTGGCTCCCCATCCCGGCTGGACCCCCGGGTGCTGCCCTGGTCCCCCCGGGTCAGCCCTGCCCGGGGCTGCGGCCAAGCAGGGGACCGGGCGGCTGGGCATCTTGCAGGGCTGCACCCGGGGGTGCCCCTCGCGCCAGGCCGCAGGCGGCCCCAGCTGCTCCTTCCCCTGCCCAGGGAACACGAGGGGCCCCAGGACCCCCGGAGCAAGGGGGCTGCAGCCCCCCGGGGTGAGCCCAGAGCAGCCCCCGCGCACCAGGACGGGTACAGATGCCATCACAGCCTGGATTTAGGATTTAGCCCAGCCCCACGGCCCCCGCAGGGATGCCCTGAAGGGATTAAGGGATTGCAGGGCCCGGGAAGCCGCGGGAGCCAAGCGCTGGTGCCTGGAAAGGCAGCGAGCCCTGGACCCTACAAGGGCACCGAGCGGCGCCGGGCGAGCATTGGCTGAGCGGCAGGGCAGGGYGGCTGGCGAAAACACGGGAAAAAGGCAACAACCTTCCATCCCGCGCCCCTGCTCACAGCCCCTCGGCCCTGGGGACCTCGGCGTCACGGGGACGGACCCAACTGCACGGGACATCCCCGGCACCTTCCCGCGCGGATCCCCAGAGCCCGCCCTGGGAGCACAGCAGCTCCAGGACGGCCTCTTGCAGCAGGGGCAGCCTCGGCCCCTCGTGTCTCCTGACAAGATGRGGCCACGTGTCTTGCTGGGGGGGTAGGATGCAAGCAATGCCCCCCTCCCGGACCCCGGTGCCACCCCYAAGCAGGACGTGGCCGCACACTCATCTTCAAAATAAAACTTTTATTCATTCAGTAACAAGAACATGGAGTCTGCACGTCAGTGCACAAGTTCACATTTAAAAACAGCTGAGCACATCGGTCATAAAGTCTCATAAAGGGACGAGGGGACGAGCCCGGCCGCCCCGGGAGATGGAGGGAGAGGAGGAGGAGGAGGGTGGCAGTGCGGCCCTCCCCGGGGGGGCGTCTCGGCCGCCGAGGACCCCCGGGGGCGCCGCGYCTCGAGGGATCGAAAGGCACTGGCCCCCGGTGCCGCCCGGGAGCCTCGCGGCCCTGGCGCTGCCCCCGGGCGCTGCGAGCGCAAGGCGGCACCGCGGGCAGAGCCGCTCGGCCGCGCTGCCCTCGCCGTGGAGCAGGCGGGCGGCGGGGAGGCCACGGCCGGGCATGGAGCGCGAGTCCCTGTAAACAACGAGGTGTCCTCGGAGCCCCCGCAACGCGCTTCGCTTCCCACAAAATGCCCTTAAAACAACGCGTTCCTCTTAACCCGCCTAGCAGCGCGGCTCGGGCTCAGCGGCCGCTCGCGGGGTGCAGGAGCGAGCGCGACTCCCAGCTGGGAGCCCCAGCGGGGGGACCTTGCTGGCCTCCCATTGTGCCGCCCAGCTCCGAGCCTCCAGGAGCGTCCGCAGGAGATCGACCTTCCCCGACGCGCTCCACGGAGAGGTGCCGCCCCAGGCTGCGCTGCAGCAAAGCGCCTCTCCGCACGGGAGATTCCCTGCGGGAATGCRGGCAGGAGCCGAGTTTTGGAAGGAAGCAGCATGTGGGGCCTGCGAGGATCTTTCCCCAGGGTGCTGGAGYGGGGCACAGAACTTAGCACCTTTCCCCTCTCTCCGGAGGCTGGACACRTGCACGGTTTCCCGGGCAGGCAGGGAACACGCTTGGTGACATGCCGGCACCGCTGCGCCCTGCGTGGGCTCGGGGACGGCCGCGCCGCGCCGCGCGGGCAGGAGGGGAGCAAGGAGCAAGGAGCAGGGCTGCCCTTAGCAGCCGCCACGAGCCCCTTGGCCTTTCCGTGCCGCCGGCCCCGCTCCAAGCCAGCTGGAGCGGGCCCCGAGGGGCCAAATGCCTTTCAGCGGCCCCGGACGGCTCCGGCCTCCTGGGCCAGCCTCTCTGCGACTTGGGTGACTTTTAGTGACCGCAACTGCCCGGCGGGACGTGCTACGTGACCCAAGCAGGGCCCCGCCGGCTCCCGCAGGCTGCGCTGCCGCCCGCGGCCGCTCCGGCTCCTCGCCAGCGCCCGGGGCCGCTGGAAAARCCGGGAGCCGAGCAGCGGGACCCCCAAATGCCGCAGAACCCTGGGAACACCCAAACCTGCTGGGACGCGGAGCGGGCACCGGGAACGCACGCGGCCTCCGCTCCCCAGGGAGGCTGCGAAGGGCTCGGAGCGGCCACGGGGCCACGCGGCCCATCGGCCACCAGCGGCGCCGGGGCTGCCATCCCGCCCCGGGGCCCCGCGGGACAGGGACACGGCCGGCAGAGTCCCGCGGCTCYGCAGGGAAGACAGTAGCAGAGTCGAATCCACTCCCTTGCCCTGGGGATTACAATGGACAGCACTGCGGGTGAGGAAGGTGGGTTTGTTTTCCAGTTCACAGATGCAGTCTTGCCCCCTCCCCCCCATTTTTTTGTGTTTTTTTTTTTTTTAAGAAAAAAAAGCAAAACCCAAAACATAGAAATGACAAAAAAAAATCTATATAAATACCATATATACATCAATTTAGGAAAAACAAACAAACAAAAAAAACCCCAAAATAAACAAGCTTCCAGAAAAGATGTTCCCTCTGGGTTGGGCGTTAGGAGCGACAGCAGAGAGCACGAGCGGTGCCTGCAGCGGGGAAACCCGCCGTGTAACAAGTGGAAGAGGAGCGAGGTCTGGAAGGGAAGCGCGGGGCCGGGGGACACGGGAAAGGACTCGGGCAGCCAGGGCGGAGGGGAGGCAGCGGCGGGGCAGGGGACAGATGATATGGCCATGAACTGGGAAGGCCCACGGCAGTATTCAAGTAATGGAAGGGTTTAAACCCCGAAGAGCCGTTTGTTTTAAAAGAACACTCTGGTTTGGCGGGTTTCTGCTCTGCTCGCGGCGCTGTTGCGGCACCACGGAGGCCGAAGGGCGGCTCGGAGCGGAGGCCGGGGCTGCTCCTCGCGTTTTAACGCCCGGCGCCGGGTGCCAATTCCTGCTGCAGCCTCCTCCGGGGSAGGCAGCGGCAGCACCGGCCCGGGAGCTCGTCCCGAAGCGCTTTCCTAAGTGATCTGCCCCTGCCCTGCAGTTCCAGTTTGCAGAAATAAAAGAAAGGCCAAACGAAGGGATCTTGGCACAGCCTTCACATTTACGGGGGTTCTCGCTCCAGCACCATGTCAAAGCAGAGGTGAAATTCAAGTTACGAACTCAGACCTGGTTCTGCGCAAAACTCCACGCTGCATAAGCGACCCGACAGCAGTTTTCCTTTGCCAAAGGTGTTCTTTTAAAACAAACCAACAACAGAAAAGAACATTTGAGGTTATCTGACTTAAAAAAAAATAAAATAAAAAACCAAACAGTCCTGCAGTCAGAGTCACACACAGAAGAACCAACCCACACCTACATGCGCCAGGAACAGTAAAATGACAATATATATAAAATTAACCAATAAAGTGCATGTTCCTTATATATTACACCTGCCCCTTGCGTGAACGCAACGACATGGGTTCTCTTTTGTAAGAAATCACAGCCGAGGGCTCCGAATCACATTGTGTTATAGAGTGGATTGGTTGTCCGCTTTTTATCATTGGTCTTTTTGAGTCTCCTCAGAGGGTGAGTTCTCCCGTGCTGCTGCCTGGGTGCGAGAGCCAGGCTCGGCGCCAGGGCCGAGGGGTCCGCGAGCGGCACGGGGAGCAGCGGGGGACCCTCCCCGGAGCCCGTCCACGGCGGATCCGCGCCGGGGAACAAGCCCTGCTGGCTCGAGCCACACTCTTTGGCGTACTGAGCTAAGGGCCTCTCCACCGGCTTGCTCTGGGCAATGCACTCTGTCGTTCGTAGCTGTTCTACAAAATGCTTGGTGGGTTTGGGGTCCCGAAGGGCGGGCAGGGAGGCAGCGCAGCGCTGCTCACAGGGGCTTTCCAGGCCCCCTTCCAACGTCCCCCTGCAAAAGCTGCGGCCGAGCGCGACGCAAGTGAGAAGCACCGGGTTGGCGTTGGAAGAGGCCGATTCCCTCTCGGATAAGTCGTCCTTGGAGAGATCCAGGCAGTCCAGCTTGGCCAGGGAGGCGGAGCGTTTCATGTGGGACGGCGTGGTGAGCCCCGCGTGCCGGATCCGCGCCTCTATCTCCTCGGCCCGCTGCTTGACGAGCCCGGCGCTGTCGCCGCGCTCCGCGCCGCGGCTGCCGGAGCCGTGCGGGAGCCCGTAGCACAGGAAGGAGATGTCCAGAAGGGCCAGATCCGCGGCGCGGTGCCTGGGCAAGTCCTCGCTGCTCAGCCGCCTCGCGGCGCCGGCACMCGCGCGGCGCAGGGGCTCCCCGCTGTCCCCACGCGCCGCGCTGCCGGCTCCGTGGGCGCCGCAGGGCACGGCCGGCTCAACGTCCGTGCTCGTGCTCTGCTCCGTGACACCCTCCACGCGGACGACGTACGGGGAGGAAGGGACATCTTGGCCGGCTGAAGGTGTGGGGGCTGCCTGGGCAGAGGGGGAGGCAGCGCCGAGGGGAAGGTTAGAGCCACCACCTTCCCGGCTGGCGCTGCCCGCGCCCAGGGCCGCCTGCCCTTGTACCGAGTGCTCCGGCGGCGGCGGAGTCGCCAGCGTCGGAGCTTTGGGAGAGGTAGCGGCCTGCTCGGAGCACAAGGAAGGATTCAAGTTTTCATCCAGAGAAGGGAGGGCCGGRGCCAGCCCGCCCTGCTCGCAGGCGGCGGCGGGGAGCTCCGCAGCCCTGAGCGTGGCAGTGTACTCGATGATTTCAATCCTCTTTGGGAGGAGGGCGGGCAGCGCTGGCTCCTCCGTGCCATCGAACGAGACCACGGTCCTGTGCTCCTGAGCTGCTGCCCCGTGCTCCAGCGCAGGCGCTGCAGGCAGAGGCTCGCAGGGAGGAGAGGCAGCGGGCACGGAGGGAGGTTTGTCTGCAGGCTGCTCTGCGCCGGGAGGCAGCAGCTCCGCAGCACCGGCACCCTGCCCCTTGCCACCCTCCGGGGGCGGCTCCGGCGGCGGCTCCTCGCTCCTGCCGCCCGCAGCAGGCTCGTTCCTGGAGTTCTTGCGAGCGGGCAGGGCGCCGCCCGGGTGCTCCTGCTCCTGCCACAGGCGCTCGAACTCCAGCGTGGCCCGTCTGACCGAGCCCGGGCACCACTTGGGCTCGGGAGCGACGCTCTGCTCGCGAGGCTCCTGCTGCTCCCCCGCCGGGCTGCTCTCCTCCGGGGCCGATTTGCAGGCAGGGAGCTGCAGCGAGGGGCCACCTTCCTGCTCAGCTGCCAGGGGGTCCTTCTCCTGGGCTCCTTCGCTCTGCTCCAGCCTCTCCGATGCCCAGACCCCCTCCACCGGCAGCTCATGCACCGTGTTCCTCTTTGGTGTCGAGGTATGGTTGGCAGAACCCTCTTTCTGCTGGGCAGCTCCTGCCCCCTGGTTGATCGATTCAATTTCTGTGATWATTTCCTTCACTGAAATTGCATTTTCCGAGTGGGACCTGGTGAGATGGTCGGTGCCAGGCAGCTCGGGGACCTCCTGCAACACAGAAACAGGGGAGTTAYGGAATGAATCATCTGTGCTGACACGGCACGAATGCAGCTCAGCAGAAAGGGGTGCCCACACCCGCAAAGCAAACACAGACTAGATCCCAAGTGCCTAACAAGTAATATCATCCCTGGGACTGTATGCAATGTATTCCAGGGTAGATTTTCATCTAGACTATGATTTAAAAGCCCCTCTCTTAGCTGACATGAATTTCAGGGGAAATTAGTTTTGTTTTCTTTTTTTAAAAGGTCCAGTTATCAAAAAATAATCTAACAGTGCTAAAAGTGCGATTTTGAACTGTAAATTCAGAACATTCTTTTTATRCAGAAGAGTGAACAGAAACACAGTGTGATGAACAAGCAACTAAACGCTCTAGTTTCTCTAAGGAAAATAGGCAGGGAAGCCAGCACTGACATTCCTTCCTCCTGCCACATCACTGGAGATAGTGTTGGCCTATTATAACTGGAAGATCCCTGCTGTCTCGCATGGAGATAGGGAAGATCCAAGCGAAGCAGTGCGGCATTTAAATCAGACCAGCTCCCAGAAAATGATGGCCTTGGCCACCACCAGTCCCTGGGAGCACCCTGCAGGGTGGAAAGCAATTAGAAGAGAAAGGTACCTAATTCAGGATGTCACTAAATTTCGTCAGGAACATCTCTGCCCCAGGAGAGAACCATGACATCCCTTACTCCGACACCCCAGGCTTGCACCCACTCATATGTTTCTTTGATCAGTCCCCATCCATCYGTCCCCAATTTGCTATCTCAATGCTGGTATTTTCCAGCCATGAAAAGATATCAGCTTTGCTCCACTACTTGGTGGATTCTTCAAGTCTGGAATTATCTGCACAGATTCTGGATGCTGGCTAGTCCCTGGTATTCYGGGCTCAGCTGCAGTAACGGATCAAGTCCCACCTATCTGCTCTCCTTATGTAGAGCTCAAAAATTCTCCAAAGAGCAAGCAAAAAACTACTGCAGATGTATCTGAGCAGCAGTTCCCCCCAAACCGAGCAAACTATTTTAACCTTTTGTTGTTCTTCATCGGTGGAAGAGTCATCTGATGCTTGAGGGGAGTTTCTAGAGCTGCTCCTCTGAGCATCTGCAGCCCCATCTGCAGCAGGTGGCACTTCCAGAGCAGACACCTTGGAGATCCCGTTCCTTCCACCGCCTTGCTCCTCTGTCCTGGAATGGGAGCAGGCGCGTGACCTGCTCTCCTGCGAAAGCTCCACAAATTTCTCCAAAGCGCTGAAGAAATCAATCCTATCTGTACTGAGCTCCRTCACTCCAGGCTGGGGAGCTTGTTGGGGACTTGGGGAATTCTGGTTGGGAGACTGGGGAAAGTCTTTTAAGCATGTAGTGAATTCTTCCATGGGAAGCAAATGCACGTTCATATCGGGCTTAAGAGCATCTTTTTCCAAATCATCCACCGTCAAATCAGGAAAGTCCGTTATTTCCAAGGGATGCTGGAGTTGCATTAAGGCCTCAGAAGCATGGCAGTTATCAGGGGGGATCGAGTCCACACAACAGCCTACTGGACAGCCATTGATATTGTTTAGGTTCAGCTTGTCCTCTATCTGCTCAGCGTGGAAGTCTCTACATGTAAACTCCAGGTGAACCCTTCTCTCCTTCACACACGGCTCTTCGATCAGGTTTGCGTCCTCCGCTTGCTGCTGCTCTCTGTCCAGCTCAGCTGAGTAGACAGGAGACATGGGCTGCTGGTTGTCGTTGGTCTTGGCATCCGAGATCCGGTCAGCAGAGGTGGTGATCTCCTTCTTGTTCAGCTCCAGCCCGGCCTTGCAGATGGGCTCGTGATGGTCAGAGAGGTCACTGTCCGAGTGCGAGCGCCACAGCTTGTTGTGCCGCTGCTTGCTGTGGGGAACAAAAGCAAGGGAAAACACTGAGCTGTGTTTTCACATTCCAGGGCAAGACCCATCCTGCTGTAGGAAGACGCGGCTTACGCGAAGAGCAGTGACAAATACTGGAAGTCACTGAGCACAGCTGCAGCTTAACCTAARCACTGCAGGGCCAAACATGCTGCCGGAGAACTTGGTCTGCCACCAGGCCACCTTTCAACACTGTTTTGCTCCACATACACGTTCCCATGTACCCCCCGGCCCCGCTTCACCAGCCATTCCTCAAACACAATGTTGAGCTGATGGCCAAACGTGGTCCCTTCTCAGCCAGGACTCATCATTTTTCAGCTGGTGAGCAATGACCAGGGGGGACAGGGTGCGTGGGGCGGGCGGATAGTGGATCCTGAATGAAGTCCAATTTCCTCTCCCGCCCAGGGGTGGCCTTGGGGCTCCTTCCTTGAGAGATTTCAGTGACCAACAGCTGAGCTCTGGCAACCAAAGCAGCTGCATGTGCACGGGAACACACAGGAGAACATCCTCTACAGTCAACAAGCAAACCCAACCACCACGTGCATTTCACAGAAAGGAAGCTCAAGTTCTCCATCTCTTGGAAGGCCCCTTTAGGAAGGCCTGAGGAGTCACAGGGCCAACAAACACCAGCAGCATTGCATCATCTTCCCCACGTCCACCTGCCCAAAACARCCCTTCCCATGGTCCTGGGGGCTTTGGAAAACAAAGGAGGCAACTTCTGGGTGGGTTCTCCTGAGTGACCAGGGCCACAGGGCTGTGCTTCCACCATTTGCCCCTAGGAGGAGAGCAGATACCACAGAAAGGACCTTGGGTCTGCAGGAGGTCTAGCAAAGCCTCTCCAAGGCTCCTGCCAGCAGGAGCAGGTGCTCCCAGACACATCCACTGGCTGCAGGAGGGTTATCAGAGGGTATTCGACTCACCAGAACACACCAGTTTAGCACACCCACTGGACAAGGCAAATACTCCAGCCTGCAGTTCACCTTCTCATCCCATTATCAGCTCTGTAGGACATGGGGCAGGATGAGGTCCTCTCCCAGGAGACAGGCCCCATGACACGGCACTGGAAGCCACTGCTCCATCTCAAAAGGATCTGGGAGGCCAAGTTATTAACAGGAGCAGCAGGAGAGGCCCATCCGGGTGGCAGGCAGATGCCGAGGCCCTTTGGACAGGAGGTGCCATTTCTCTGCTCTTTCTCTGCTGGAAAAGGTTGCTGTGGCACCTTCGGTGGGTTTGCTCAACTCCCAGCCTCCCAACTCCAACCTTGAAACCTGCAAGAGGTGCTAAAAGCAGCACCAAGGAACAAGAGCCCACGTCCTTCCCCAGAGCCACCCCTTGACCTTCCCGCACCCAGTGCTGGGGAGACCCAAACGCCACAGCCCGGACACCCTGAGGTGGCTCCCAAACACACGTTTTGCTCTGATTTCTCCACAACTAAGAAAATAAACAGGGCTCCCAGCCCTTCCGCCGCTACCCACCGGCGGAGGGAGGGGACAGTTTAACCCCAGGAAGTGTGACGGTCCTGAGGAGCAAAACACGCTCGTTGTTGTGACTCAAAGCACACGGCGGGGATTTCTTTTTGCGGATGGAAAACATATCCCAGCTGCTGTAAGCCCAGCACAAAACCGTAACTAGATAGTGGGAGCACATGGCTGCCCTCGCAGAGCGTCCCTCTGAAATCTGAGCAGTCACATGAGGATGAATCTGTCAGGTTTTTGTTTGGTTTGTTTCTCTTTACCTGCCCTGGAAAACTGCAGCAATAAACACGGTGGCCAAAGGGCAAAACTGAATCACACGGAGCAGAAAGAGGGGGGAAAAAAAGCAGTTGGAGCTGGGAAAGGACCAGCATGAGGAAAAGAGGGGCCGTTTCTGCAGTACACAGAGGCTGTTCCTTGCTTCAGCGAAGCTCCATTTACCGCAGGCTTTTTTTTTTTTACCACAGATGTGCTGCTCTGCTCTTGCATTTTTTAAAGCCTCGCGAGTCACCGCGTTCGTGCCATTGAGCAGCTCAGGAGCGGTGGGAGCAGAGCTGTACCATGGAAAAGCTCCTGTGAAAATAAAGGACTCAAAACCCTTAAGCAACGWGTTTGCAGGGGCTGATTTGCAGGGGTGGCAGCAGCTCCCGGGTGGATGGAGCGCCCGGGGCAGCGGCCGGCTGGAAGGTGCTATGTCCCCAGTGCCACCAGGCAAGGGCTATTCCCAGGGGTTCCCCGACCTGCTGCACAGCATGTTGGCACCATTTCCCTGCCCGAAAACCTCCTTTTCCTCCATCCAGCCTACCCCCAGGAGAGCTAATTTTCCAGCCTGCCTAACGCACATCGACTGGGCAGGTCACTTGTAGCTCCGAGTTAAGTGCTGATCCTTATTAACTGCTGCCAGCAGCCGGGTAGCACATTTGGTGCCCCGCAAGGCGCCAACGGCTTCAGATTTGCTCAACAGCAAAACATGTCAGGATCTGAGACCAAATCCTGTGATCTGGAGAAACACGGTATCGCTACCTCCTTCCAGCTGGGCACGTGACAGCGTTGCTTAACACAGTTTACAAGCAGACTTCTCAGAAACATGCAATATTTCTATCTTTTTTTTTGCTAATCAAGTGATAGGCTTGGAATTACAACACTCTTGCCCATAGCCAGCTCCACACCAGCCTCATAATTCCAGGCAGGAATAAATAGGGCTGTTGCAATGAAAGGAAACAAGAACATCCTGTCCCCTCCCCAAACACCAGCACTTACAGGAGGATCTAAATAAAACTAGGCCAGCTGCTGAGGAGGAGCACGGTCAACAGGGAACTGTGAGGTTGAGACACAGGGAAGGCAATTGCTCTGCCAAATGATGTTACAATGAATAGGGACATCATTTATCTGTGCTGGAAACCGCACAGCTCTGAATACTGCATTTGGATGGCAATTCATGGGATGCCGCGCTCCGAAAAGCAGCCCAACAGCCTCCTAGAAGCTTTTTATTAAACCTTTTTCCCAGGCTCAGCTGAGATAACCCACGAAAACAGAGAGTCATCATCCCCAAGATAACCACGAGGGTACATAACGCACCAAAAGAAGTTCCAATCCAAATAATGAAGTCAATCCTCTCAGCATCATGCCTCCGAGCGGACAATCCGCCCGTTTCTGGGGGCTCACCTGGCCAGCAGGATCCCTTGGTACTCCTCGAGCTGCCGCATGAAGCTGGGGTTGGGCTTGGTGACGGTGCGCCGCTCCTTCACGTAGTCGTAGGCTCGGTCCAGGTTCCAGCCGTACTCCTTCATGGCGTAGGCGATCACGGTGGACGCCGAGCGGCTCACGCCCATCTTGCAGTGCACCAGGCACTTGGAACCATTTTTCCTGAGACGGGGGAAAGACCGAGAGCGTCACTACATAGAAAGCACTGCCTTGGAGAAGCTTAAGGTAGGGTTTGGTAGACTTCTGTCCCAAAGCATCATTATGAAGCGCATTGTAAAYGTGGTGGCTTTGGCTTGCAGTCTCTCGGATGCGATCTGATCATCCAACCAACAAAGCGGAGCAAGACACACAATGGAAGCGAAGGACAAAATCCTGATGTTCTTAATGGATTTGGTCACGATGGTGCTTCCAGAGCTTTTATGACAAAGCAGACAAACATCAGCTGTTTGCACAGCTTTATGAAGACTCTGCTAAAGACTAATACGTATCCTTGAACCCAGCCAAAATGGCTCACTGGTATCAAGCAGTATTACAAATAGAGAAGGCATCTATTACACACAAAGGGCTTCACAGCTTAGAAACACATTGCAGGCAGATACCGCGTGGCTCAGGGCAGCCTCTAGCCCAGAAATGTTTGTCTAGTGCAAACAATTTTTGCAAGTGGCTGCTCAAGACCAACATCGCTTTAATACAGGGTTTGAAATCCTGCCTGGCCACCACGTGCATTTGAGGGGTACAAATCTCGCCCAAACCCAACCTGGCTGATTTTTTGCAACATCTCCATTTCTTTGGATCATCTAGAAGAGYAAGGCTCATCCCCAGCCCTGCTTATAGCAGCACTTGGGGTCCTTCCTCTTGGTACCTGACCCAGTGCCAATGAGTGGAAGAGAAGAGTTCCCTGAGCAGGGAGGCAAAGAGGGACTCAAAACACTCCAAACCAGTGCAAACTCCTGCTGCACCCAGAGGGAAGATGCCTGYTGATATTACCCGTTCACTCTTAGCAAAGGCAAAGTAAACAGCCCTCTTGAGTGCAGCAAGCAGCTGCTTTGCTTGGGTGAGGCTGGTACAGACAGCRCCTGAAAGGGCAGCCTGCACTCTGCCCCAAGGAATTCAAAAATATTTGTCTCCCATGAAACACGAGGAGAAAGATGAGCTGGCTCTTATCTGTGAGCTCCGAGCACCGGGCAGGCTGAGAGGGTTTTGGTTTGGCTCCTTTAACTTTTTTTTTTCCTCCTATTGCTCGGATAAGGTTTTTTTTCCTGCTGGCCGTGGAGGCTCCCCCAGGACAGGCTGGGATGCTGTAGGAGCACACGCTGTCATGTGCCTCGGCAGGCTCAGACTTCAGCTGCACTCAGCTGTCTGAGCCCACGGCTGCATCCAAACCCCACGTGCACAGTGTGAGATGTGCTTACCCTTTGGGGTATACGGTGCTACAGCAGCCTATGGCTTGGCAAAAGTCTTCCTTATGGAATAACTTCAATTCTTCCAGCAGGGCAGGGATGTCCATGCACCCCTCAATCCTACCTGCTCCTTATACAACTGTAAGGACAGCGATCTGCAGTAGGCAACTCTTAACACGCAGACATCTACATCTCCAAAATGAAAACGCCTCATGCCTAGTTGCGTGAGGAGAAAAGCAGCTATGCAAACCAGTAAGAAAGTACTAAATGCTTAGTATATACTTTCTTCATGTGTTCGTTGTGCTCTAAACATACTTACTTTGCCTTGGAGATGAATTTGTAGGTATCATTCCAGTAAGCCAGAAGATCTGTTGCTTCTTCATCATATACCCGAATATTATGATATTCGAAGAGCCCTGGGAAGAAGTTATCTATTTCTCGAGTCACATTCAAAATATACCGCACCCTGCACGGAAACAGAGAGCACATAAAAATGCAGAGCATGCAGAACACAGCAAGTTCAGAGAGATATCGCAGCTGCTAGATAACAGGTTGGCAAAACTCAAAGCATTCAAAACTGTACTCTTGAACACACTATCTTGGAAATAAGGAGTCAGTGCAAGGAGGTAGTGACAAAYCCAAGCAAGAAGGATTTGCTGAGCAACTTAGAGCCTAACCTATGATAAAAAGGCTTCTTTTTATTCTAAATAGAAACGAAGCCTCCCATGAGGGCTATCAGGCTGTTCATCTTGTTCACCATCTCTCTAAGCGCTGGCAGCTCTCATGCTCCAGGATTCCTCCCTTATTTAGTTCAAGGGAACTGCGGACGACCATTCCCTGAATGAGGAAAGTTGTGCTAGGCTGGCTATCCAAGGGGCATAAATACACTACCAGTTCAGTCCAGTGGTGATAACTTTGTTTTTTTTTCTACTGGATTGGGAAATTAAACATATAAATAATGGTTCAATTCCATGCTCCTTGTACACAGATCCACCTGGCCTAGAAGTAGGATTCCCTAACCATAAGCCTGCAAGATAGCAAGGACAGAAGACAGAGGTACATATCCAAGCTAAGCCCAAAAGCCATGGACTTTATCTCCCTYGGTCATCTCAGGGGAACAAATGCTCTTTTACACATTTTCCTTCCTGCTGCAGCCCAGAGGTCCAGACTCCAAAGTGTTTCTATAATCCCAAGGCCTCAGCCCAGCACAGCGGGCTCGAGCAAGGGCACAGAGCCAACCACGCTGCAGTGAAGCAACCTTCTGCTTTCTGCTACTTGCTGCTACAAGACTGCTGGTTTCCTTTGCTCGCTAAGAGGATGCCAGGCAAGGTCAGGAAACAACATTCTTTTACTTTGGGGTGCCTATCTGTGGAACTTGGGGCTTGGAAGACCCAAGGGAGCAGCAGATTGTCAGCTTGTTCAGATGTGCAAGGTTTTGTACAAGCTGGGYTACACTGCGGCTCCGCAGGGGCATTTGTTGCATGGAGGAGCAAGGCCAGGCCCTGGTTTTTAAGCTGATGGCCTGAAGCTACTTACCCTCTGTTCTGCAAGTCTTCCAAATTGGAGGCGTTCCACTCCGAGCCCTGCAGGGAAAACATGCAGAAGGAGACGTCACCCGCAAGGGAAGTGCAGAGAGGAGAGAGAACAGAAAAAACGAGGAGGGAGGAGAAGCCACCCAGGACCACCCGGAGGAAGGTGCCCAGCCATGTGCTGAAGCGTGAGGGTCTCTGGAGCAAAGGGTGCAGCAACAGGGCTGACGCCTTCATGCTCAGCCCCTTATCTYGCTCTATCAACCAGCTCCTTTCTGAAGCAACAGGCAGCTCTTCAAAGCCGAGCCCAGTGTTGAACCCGGGCACTTCCTGCGAGGCGTTGAGGAATCTGCCTGAGCAGAGCCCGGCGCGCTCCACCCTTTCCCTGGCGGCTGCTGCTGCCAGCTCTGCCCCACAGAGCACAGACTGCCCGTCCTTAAAAGCCATCCAGGTGCTCTTTATACACAAAACACCCTCCTGGCACATCAAAGGCGGTGGCACGGTAAGCTCACCGGGGGTTACGACTCCTCTCCCCACGCTCCAATCTGCAGGAGCACCAGAGCAAAGGCGTTCAGCCCTGGCGGGCGAACGTGCCCCTCCGCGGGACCCACCGTGCCTCCCAGCCAGGCTGYCCAAACGCTTAAGCCTCACTGAGGAAAGGGCAGTGCAAAGGCTTCCTTCAGAAACCACGGTGCACAAGTTATCTGCTCCCCTGCCTTAAATAGCTCCTGCATGGGAAGTGCACAAGCTCCTGCAGGAAGCGGCTGCCCCAGCAGCGCTGCCGCTCACGGCAGAGCTGCCTCGCACACACATCTACTCCAGCCCTCCTCCATGGTGCTGCCTGTGAGCCTTGTCTCACGCTCTTGTTCCTATTACCCACACTCCAAGCCAAGGCTCAGATCCCTGCAGCTGACCACACTGCCTGGATTGCTTTCGAGGAGCACCATGAGTCCCTAACACATCTCTCCRGGGACAGCACCCAGTCTGCACAAAACTGCGGTGTTGTAGGTAGTTTGGCTTTTCTGGCTCTATCCCTCCACTTTCCCGGGAGCACTCACGTTAACATACACCATCCCTGTGGAGCCACGGGAAGGCACTGAACTTCAGGAGGCTAGGAGAGGCTGCCTCAGGTTGGACAGACCAGCTGATCCAAGAGAAMCGGCTTCCTTTATAGCTGAGCCAACCTCATAGGTTAGACAGCCCCACAAAACCAGTGTCCGTTGCTCCAGGGCTGGGAAATCCAGTGGAGAGCTGACTCACCAGGAGGAGGTGGAGTATTTAGACAGGCCCCAGCAGCAATGAAAGGCAGCTAAAGCAGTAAATCATCCAAAGACGAAACCCTTGCGTTGCCTTAAGTGGRTTATCTCTGGGTTCTTTGCAAAACTCCTATATATGTTTCCCCAGATGACAGGTAGAACTTGTGAATTCACTGTTAAACTCACCAAAAAGACATGATCGAATATCTGAGTGGGGCTGTCCATCTGTCCGAGGATCACTATCATTTCATTGTCAATGAACTCTTTGAACTCCCGCAGGTTGCACACCATCTGCATCTCCAGCTCCGTGCGTATCTGGGTGAAGATGACAAGGAAACCACGTGGAGTTTTGCCTCTCGTGTTTCCTCGCAGCACAAAGCTCTGCTGTGCGCGACGGCACCTGGAGAGCTGCTCCTCCACCACTCACCTCTTTCGACGTGATGTTCTCCAAATCCTTCTGCATCATAATCTCCCTTAACTTGGTCTTAATCAGCCGCTCGGTGCGCTCCCGCTCCGTTGGGCTATCGGAAGGAAGGAAAAGGGAGTCATGGAGAAGGGAAATGAACTGGACTTGTGACACTTTTAAAACGTGTTGCTTGGGCTGGATACCCTGCAGGCTCAGGCACTCGCACTGCTTTCCTCCAAGCAGTTCCTCAACTGGCAGGAGTTCAGGTGACTGCAAAGTGCAATTTGGATTCCCGGCTGTATGTGAAACAGAACAACTCAATGCGCCTAATCCATCATAGCCATCCAAAGAACCTTTGGTATTTGGTAAAATTTAAATTGGGAATGCTGCATTGCACTCACTGGAGCAATATCAAAGCCTCCCCCTACCTTTCTTGGAAAGGTAACAGTTCGAAAGCTCCTTACATGGAGAGAAGAGGGCAGCTAAGCCTTTGTACATTCCTCTACCCTCTGCTGCCAGGGGCCTTATCATCAACTGCAAAAATAGCCTGACTAACACCGGGGGAAGTTGCTACAGAGCAGCAGCTCCGAGCTGGCTCACCATCACAGCGAGAAGGGGCCCAGCAGTAACATCTCACACCACCTTTCTGCCTTCCTGGGAGGCTGCCAGCCTGGTAAATACACCGAGACTTCTGCTTTTAGAAGCAGCTACAACTCTTCTCCAACTACTGGGCCACAAATAAAAACCCTAAGAGGCCAGGTTCTTTCAGCACAACTGTTATTTCAGGATTTAATCAAGACAGTGCTGTCTAGGTATCCCCAGGAAATCACTCAACTGCTGCCACTGGGGAAAGGGTGGATTACACAATGTATATATATGAAAAGCTAAGGAGAATATTAATCTGAAAGTCTGCCAAAACTTTTCGGCCTTCTTACTCGTACATTAAAAAACAATCAAGCGTGAAGCTTTGTTCTCAGCTGAGCTACTGCCTTAGCATTATTATTCACTCACGGAACTCCAGTAACAGGGAATATCCAAGAGCATAAACCAAGCAGTGGCACTATCGCACTGGGAAGGCAGMCGGGGCCAGCAAAAAGTCATTTTTCCTACTGCAAGCAAGGCAACTAGCCCCTCCTGACTGGCACCACACCTGGACCCAGGCTGCTTTGAGGTTAGATGGTATCACTGCCATCAGTGATTGCTAATTACAGAGGTTGTGGCTCTTCAGGGTTGGTATAACCAAGACATTTTGCTTGTCCAAACTACACACACATCTACCAGCTGCTGTTTTGGATCTTACACCACCATTTATCTGAGCATTTGGATGAAGATAGCGTGGACCTATACGCTGCTACTTCCCACTTACAACACTCCCCAAAGCCCAGAAACACTGCTTTGCTCCTTCTGCCCATTCTCAGGTGTGTTAGCTGTGAGGGTGTCTGTGAGGAGGCTTCTCAGTTTGGTTTCAGGTCTACCTCAACACTTCACATTCCTGCAGTATGAACTGAGGAACAAATAAGGGCAAATAAAGAATAAAGAAATAGTAAGAGTAAATAAAATAAGACTCAAATAAGAATCAAATAAGATATAAGAATAAAATAAGAACAAAATATGGAAAAGGGATATTATAATAAACATTGTGCTTAGACACACTCCAGAGTAAAAGAATGTCCGGGGAAACCTGTTCCTTCCAGGAGACRTGAGGACGGGGAATCAGAGGACAGAATCAGCCAACAGGAGGGCCTAGGTTCTAGTCTCAGCTATAACAGATGCCTCCAGGGTTTGGCCAACAAACCACACCTATATCTTACCAGTAACAGGAGACTAACCTTGCAAAAGGAAAGATCTGAGCCCAACAAGGTAACGGGTAAACAACTAGAACGAAAACACAGGTAGGAGCACATAAAGTTCAGCCCCAGGAGAGCAAATTCTAGCACTATTTACCTAACCAGGAGTCCAGTTACCTCCATCAGGAAGCCTCCTCTCATTAGTACCTAATTAAGAACGAACCCTCGTGGCAATGGTCTCCCCTTTTGGAAACTGGAGGGCTGACAGCTCAAAGCCAAGCCTACTTACACGTCGGTGAAGAGGGCGGGCGAGTCCGGCCGGTGGGACTGCACGTCCTGCATGGCGTTCCACTCGTTGACCGAAGACTGGTCGGAGTTGATGTGGCTCTCATAGTAACTGACCCACGTAAGGAAGAGGCTCCCCGGGTAGTAGTTGTTACTCCGGGCCACCTCACAAGCCTTATGTAAGCTCTGCAGGGCTGACCTAGAAAGGACAAATACCCCCAGCATTATCATTTCCCCCTCAGGATGCACGAAGCAGCAGCCAGAGGCAGGATCTTGCTGCTGTGTCAGCAGGGACACCCAGGGAGCACGCAGCAGCTCGAGGCTGTCTGAGGATTTACAGCAGTGCATCTAGGTTAGTGCATGCTGCATGAGCCTGAGTGAAGCACACTGAGACAAGGCCTTGCTGCTTGGCCTGGATGCAATTTTGGGGGTAAAAGCACTTGGAAAACCATTACAACTGCCTGAGCCACGACTAAGATGCACAGAGTTTGTCTCGAGGACGGGCGGCTCTGACAACCCGCTGTGTGCAGGGCAAAGACACCCAGGGATGAGATACGGAGAGCTGCTGCACCCAGACTCCAGGGAGGTGCTGAGGTGTCTGCCTGCCCTCGGTGCAAGAGGGAGCTTGGAAGTTTCTTCAGCTGCTGCTGGGAAACAAATCCCCCTCTCCTATTTATAGCCTGTTTTAAATCTTTGACTGGGATCAGAAAGATCCAGGTCAAAATCACTGGGGTGACACAGAAGCATGACACCCTGACAGGGGATGTATTTCTGCAATGCAAAGAAGCTTGAGCCAGAAATACTTTAATGGCCACTACATTCTAACATGAACTGCCCTAAAAGGCAAGAAAAATGCAGGCAGCTCCTGTCCCCTTCACCCTACCACAACGAGCATGGCCCACCGGAGACAGAGGCCCCTAAAATACATACGGGATATATTTCCTTTTTTTTTTTTTTATGACGAATAAMGGAATATTCGGTTGTATTTCACAAATACCTATATCAAAAGTAAATTTTGCTTTGGAGAGACACTGAAATCAGTGGCCCTTTGCGAAGAAAAAAAAAAATCTTATCCCCCCCCCATCCCCGCCTCAGATAAAGGTATTGCTAGAACAGGATTATAAGCTCCATGGTGTACACCAACACTTGCAGGTATTTTTATTTTGGGATCAGGCTTCCTCTCTGTCTCTGAAGGAGACTTCTGCCTGCCTGAGGAGGTCTCAAGACACCAGTAAAAGCAAAGCAGCACCTGCTTTTTAAAAGCCCAAGCAGCCAAAACACCTTGGAAAAGGGATCACTGGGACAGATTATATTAAGCGCTTACCACATTGCCTGCACAGACACTGGCTTGAATATATGAACCCTGTTGTCTGTCGATACGCTGAACCCGCTGGAGAGAAGAATAAAAAAATAACACAGTAAAAATGTGTCCCCAAAGCCGCTTTCCAGCTAATAACTGTCTGCGGCACATCAGAAGAGCAAAGCACCAGCCCTATGCATACACTTGCTTGGCAGAGTTCAGCTAGCACGACAGAGCACACTAAAAGCTCTAAGATGACTCTCTTTTCAAGCGGCCACTGTTCAGGGATTAAACTAGGAGGAGGACAGGGCTCGGGTGGGCTGTTTACCTGGGCAACACAATTCCAGCGCCACAGCTGGGAGCACAGCTAAAGTGATCCTGCGGCAGCTACCAAGGAAGGAAAAGTCATTCCAAGCGCTGCACTGGACAGCCTTTGTAACTGGCACAAAGAGGAGTTTGCAAGTCGGGTGTCTATTTGGCAGAGAAACATCACTTTTACTTTATATTCTGCAAAACCCTTGCTGCTGCTGCAAGCACTAGGGAGGAAAACATAATAGGATCCCTGTAAGAAGCTTTCACCACACACCCACTCACCAGCACAAGCTCCTTTACTCCAGCTTAAACACACACAGGAGCCACTGTCTCAGTGCATATTTGTTCACAGATAAGTCAATTATTGGGGTTCCCTGCCACAACTACTGTGATTTAGGGCCTGTGAGCCTACTAACCCAATACAGGTCAGCAGCAGGAGGTCTGATGGCCCTGCCAGGGCTCTGAAATCACTCGAATCCTTCTCCATATGCAACGTTACCTGCTAATACAACCTGTGGCCTCTCTGCTGCTGACCTAGAATGTGCAGAAGACACTCACCCATCTCCATCCAGGTGGATCAAGGTGTCGCTCCACAGCGGCAGCACCAAACCCATCGTACAAGTGCTACTGTAATAAGAAAGAGAAAGTCAGCACCATGCAATTACTCTGACTTCACAGGAACGGTTGCAGATATTTGCATTTATTASAGGAAGGAAAAAAAAGAAAATTGATCCCACTGTTGCTTCGGGGACAAACATAACCAGTGTGGTTCCCTACACACATCTGGGGGGGGCATGAACCAGATACACGAGCCCAGAACTCCTTAAGCCGGCTCAGAGGGTTAAGGCCAAGGAGAAGAGCAAGCAGGACGGAGCAGCAGCAAGTTCTCAGCTGAGCAGGGGAGGCTCACGGGCTTCGCTCAGCTCAAAGCCTTCTGCACAGATTAGTCCCTCTCAGGCTCAAGTGGTTTGGCTCCAACTCCAACCCAAAGCTTTGTTTTGTGTTTATCCCAGAGCCCAGCTGCTGGGAATGGGGCTCGCTGTAACACAAGCCGGGGCGGCTGTCAGTGGGTCCAGGCTCGACTCCTGTCCCATCTCCCACACCTAGAGGTCGAGCGCAGCGGCCGGCCGAGACGGACTCTCTTGGCAGCCCTGCTCTTCTCTCAGTTGCTCTGACCTCTTTGCCCTCGGAGTCACCTGCTTTCGGCGAGGCGAAGGAAAAGGCCAAGTTAAAAGCAGAAGTCAAGTGATGGAAAAAGGCAGAGGTGGGGGAATCCCAGCACAACCTGCAGCAGGTCGGCAAACRACAAGGCTCAGCTTTGCAAAGCTGCAGATCAGCCCCTATCAAAGCAGCRCATCAAAGAAGAACCTCGTGCAGCTGCCTCCTGCCCTGATGCTTTGCACTAGCAGCTCTCCAGTTCCCCACGATCCCCACCGCCCACAGCAGCCGCTGCAGCTCACGAGAGGTGGGGGAAGAGGGCAGGAATTGAGGCTTCGGGGGGCAGCAGACACGAGCTCGTGCGACACACACATGCCCCGGAGCCCCTGATGCCCCACACAAGGGGACAATGCGGCACGCAGCTATTTCTGTTGACTGCATGGGATGAGCTCATGGAAAGTCATGTTTTCAAAAAGGCTTCCCAAGGTGGCCGGGGTATTTTTAGTGATACTTTTCAGCAAGCGCTTATCAGAGTCCATAGCAACAAGTCTAAATTGAGTTATAAATACTGAGTGGGCTAGGGGAGGGTGCATCAGACTGACCATCCAGAACCGAAGTAACTCTAGGAGAAAGCTAAAAACGACCCTGCTACGTTATGAGAGACTGAATGTCAATGAGCTCTCAGTTATCAAAGGTGGCTGTGCGGGTATAAGCACAGCCAATAGCAGGCTCCAAATTCACAGCACCCTGCGGAAGGACAAGTTATTCTTATACCACTATTCCTATACCGAGAGCATCTCTGAGCTACAGCAGCACACACATGTGGGAATGGACCCAGGAGCCAGCGGCAGGCTGGTCCCCATTTCCAGCAGGTATCACCTGAGCCAAGGATGCAAACGAAGCTGCTTGGAATTAAGCTTGGTAGCTGTTGTGATTAGCAGCAGGCTACCTGAAGGGTCACTGACTAGCCAAACAGCTCCAAAAGGCTTTCGAGTGACCCTATTAACTTCCTGAAAGTAATTTGCTTCAGCGAGGATTAGTACCAAAATTAATTCCAGTAGCACAGTTGTGCTCAAAGATAAGAGCTAGAAGCAAGCGTGTGCATGAAACTATCCAAAATGGATTGAATATCCGTATTCTTCATTTCCCATCTACAGTAGGATTTGCTTACAACCTTTTAAAGAGCCACATCCCTCTGGGTCCTTTTGCTCCTGCCAAAGAGTCCAATGCCCCCTTCTAAACTTGAAGTGTCTGTCCCCAAAGCTGCTCCCTGATTCCCAGTCACACCAGCAGCAAGAGCTGCTCTCTGCAGCCGTGTCCTGCAGCCCTTTGGAGAGGTCAGCAGCAATTTAAACGAACGAAGCCAAAGCATTAAACCCTGGTGACATGCTGATGTCTGGGGAGAGCACATGTTGTGTCACATCTGCCATCAGCAGCCCTGACATTCCCACCGGGCCCTCCGTGCCACGACCTTGGCCAGCGGCTGCCTGAGAGTCGCTCTCTTATTAACTGCTCTGCTGAACCCTGATGTGCAGCTCCTCTAATTGCAGCTTTTTCCTCCCTTTGCAGGCAAGCTGGCTCTCTCCCTGGCGCACAGATGCAGCTTGGGGCCTCACCATTCACAGATCACTTTGGGCACTTAACGTCTTCACACGAGCCCGAGGCACTGAGSAATGGAGCAAGTGCTGACCTGTGCTGTTTCCCTGCAGCATAAGCTGCACTCTGGGACTGAACCTCAGAGACCGTTGAGATCTCAGAATTATTCCCTTCTCTCCCCTTTTTTCTTCTCCTTTCAAAAAAGGAAATTCTGGGTCTGCAGAAAGACGTTGGCTTGGAAAAGTTGAAGGAGCCTATCCCTAAAAAGCAAGGGCACCAGACAGCAGTTTCCACACTTTACCGAGCACAAGTGGGTGAACACAAGGAATTACCCCAGTTGGACGTGACAGTACCTGTCATTGGAGGAGAAATCCATCCCTAGGACGATGCTCTCCTCGGTGTCCTGCCTGCCGTTCGTGGATACCACCACCATGTACCTCGTGCGGTTCTGGTACGTGCTTTCCAGTCTCACAGCCTAGGAAAGGAAGAGGAGGGATAAGCAGAGCAGCCAACAAGGGGCACACTGTCACAGGTCACCTTTTCACGCTGGGTGACAGGCAAAGCAGCAGCAATGTGGCTCGTGCTAGTACGGATGGCCAGGACTCCTCAGCCAGGTAACCAGGACGCAGGGCTGCTCCTCAAGAGCTGCGATATTCCTGGTGACCTCTGCACACCTTCCCATGGGACTGCTCTGTCCCAGCAAGACTGCATTTAAACTGCAGCCTATGTGGCCTCCGGCTGGTGCCAGCCTAGGTGGCTTCATGCAGCATTAAGCATTCAGCGAGATGGGTGATGAGGGAGCTCTTCATCTCACAGAAGGCTTTGCTCAGAGAAGCAGAGCTTTCCTTTATGCTCCTGCATGATCAAATAGCTCCAACAGGAATCTTTCCACCAATGGCCCAGGCAGGCAACTGGAGTCCAACCAATCCATGATTTCCCGCTGGCCCTTTGAATTTGTCAAGCAGCTTTCAACCAGGGCAAAAGTAACCCCACTGTGTCATACCTAGCAGGAAAAGAAAATTGCCCTGTCATTAAGTGTATCCATTGCTGGATTCAGATTGCTCAGAAGAGGTCAAAGTCATTGGGCCTAATGGCTCCCATCCCTACYACCCGTACCCCAGGGCCAAAGAAGAGATCAAGTGGGACTGGCAGAGATCTGAATTTTCCCTCTGAACCAAATACTAGTGAGAGCGCTCAGAGAGCAGCAGTCTGGCTAGGCTGCAAGCAGCAGACCAACAAGAAGCCCCAGAAGGGCGATAAAGCACAGAGTGCCTTCAGAAGCCAAGAGGAAGGAGCAATCAAGTGGCCCAAACAAGACTTCTCAAGGACAAAGTGCTGCTCACCGAGGAGCCAGGGGAAGGGACCTGCCTCTGTGAGCTCTGCCCACACATCTGCAGTGGGCAGGCTTTACTTGCAGCACGTTTTGGACTCTGTTCAAAGCCATTTGCGGAAACAAGGACTTTAGTCGCAGGATCCCAATTAGAGAAACTAGGACATCCCTAGAAAGGAAGTGTCTTAATTATGTACACTGAATCTTATCTTGGCTTTGGCCAGGCTAACCCAACCCTGAAATGCCGCCTAGCTTCACTGTTGAGCTTAGCGTTAAACCACTTCTTGAACTTTGGGCAGCGCCTGCAGAGAGCAAACACGGACAAGAAGGAACCGCCGCTGCCCCGGCTTCCCCGTGCTCTGCACGGATGGATCAGTTTGTCCTACTGGGACCCGCTTGCTGAATTCCCCATGACTGAGCAGTTTAAGCTAGGATCAGTATTTGACATCTTTTGCAAACAGCACCTGATGTCCTCAAGCCCAGCAGCCCTGCCAGGCTTGCCCAGAAACACTCCCTGCAAGACTGGGGCAGCTCGGGGATCAGCAGACTTGCTTTAAATGGTTATTTTACCCTTAAAAGACTAGCCCCGACACTCCCAAGGTAACTACTGCATGGGGAGCTCTCTCATAAGCAGGCTGCCTTCTGCCTGGCAGCTCATGCTACCTCATCCTGACCTCCTACCTCCTTCACACCTTGCCCATCCAGCAGCCAGTCACTCCGTACCACAAGACAAGACAGCATTTAATGAGAAGCTTAAAGCAGCACGTGGCCGTGAAACACACTGCTATTTCACACAAGTGGYAGGAGACCACGTGGAGAGCGGTGGGGAAAGCCTCCCAGCGCAGCAGCTCTGGAGATGGGGGTGGAAGAGCAAGTGCAGGCAGGAGGCAGCGTTGACCGGTGTTCTGGACTCGTCCCACAGGACTGGACACCAACAGAAACCACCCAAATGCTGAAGCCAGATGTGCTCTGTGCAGCGAGACACCGTGCCCACCCCATCTCTTTAGGCATGCTAAAACCAGCAGCCTTTTCCTTCTTGCTCCTTGAGTCTTTGGGATTCCTTTGGAAACAGAGAGGATCAAGGTGGTGAGGCCTTGGAGGTGCGAATTCTGCCAGGGCTCGCTGTTTCTACAACTACCTGCTTGTAGCAAAACAGAAAGGGTGCTCTTCAGCCTCCAAGAGCAAGCAATCACCAAGGTCTTGGTGGTTAAAGCTGCTYCCTACGTTAGGATCCAAACCTCAAACAGAAACAAAGCCTTGTCTGAAACGGGAGCAGTCGGCCAAAAGCTGCCCTGTGTCTGGGGCACAAACACGAGAGTTTTGTTCTGCTCCTCTTGAGGCCAGGCCAACAGCAATAGGATTAGCATAATCTAACTTACTTTTGCTAAACCAATTTGGCTGGCGGTAATTAGAAGTGTGGTTTTAATACAAGACCCTTTAGAAGAGCCAAGCAGTGGCCAAAGGTCGTGCGGCCTCAAGTCATTGGGGTGGGCTTTTCATAGGGACAATTAAGAGAAAACGGACAAGTCTTATTGGGGTTGTCTATAGACCTAACACTTAGACCCTTTACACAAAGCAAAGAGGTGTCAGGGGAGTATCTGGCTRAGCTTATGAATGATAAAGCAGCAAACTTCATGTTCTAAACCAGCCTATCTCAAAAACCACTGTTAGAGTCGTGACATGCTCCTCAAATCAGAAATTGGTCTCCAACTTTTTCATTAAGAATTAGCTGATACACTCACTCAACAGCAGGAGCACAACCATTAACTAAAGCGTTTGACGCCTTTTAAATGAGAATATTAGAAATCAGAGTCAATCTATGGAGGATGGCCTAACTCCAGGAACTGCCAGGAGATGAAAAGCTCTTTCTCCACAGCTCCTCTACATAGAGCTGAGCCTTCCCCTCAATTTGGGGAAGCTATTTATAGTCTGTGCATGCACAAGAAGTCCTCTGTAGCCCTCCCTTCCAGGACCAGCAACTTTTACCTACACACAGTCCAACTTTACCTCCCGCTGCACTGCTACAATCCTTTCTCATCAAAAGCACCCTGTGATATTCTATCAATCCTTATCAACAGCGCATTCCAACAGATAAGCTCAGATCGATCTTTCATCTTTTTCACGCTATCGAACAGCAAGTGCTTCATACAAGAATGCATCTCTCACCGGGATACTGGATTTGAAGACTTTTAGAAGTCTTGTTTCATTATTAAACACATAAGTGAACAGCTCCCTACTCTGCCAATTCCCAGAGCGCTTTCAATCAAATTGCATACTTCAAACYCATTTTCCCCCTTCCTCCTGATCTTACACTGGTACCATTGCTCCGACCCTGCTCTCATGAAAGGCTACAAAAACTCTGCCAAGAGCTCCAACAGAAACAAGAGTTGTTCCAAAATCTAAGTGTAGGTTTTGGAGAGGATTAGATTCCTCTGCTGCCCTCTGAATGACAGCAGCCAACACAAGAAGAGAAGGCATCTCTCTCAGTACTGTTTATATTTCAAATCTTATTGGTATCTACTATTTTATGAGAGAGTCTATTGCAGCTCTGCACACCCTTCGTTCGTCAAGAATCAATTAGATTCAAGTAGACTATCGAACTTAACCTCCTGCAAGATTTTAGCATTCCAAATGCAGCTCGGAACAAAAGGGTTTATGTCTCAGCCCACAAAGTCCTTATTCAGCTGTTAAGGCTAATTTGTCCCAAATCACACAATGTAGCCAGTGATATTGCTGAACAATGACTTGTTCAATAGCTTCCAACGTTCTAACCCCGGCTCTGGTTCTGCAAAGCACTGAGATCCCCCATTCCCATCAGCTTCACTGAACGCCAGCAGTGCAAGGTGGGCCTGACGACGTTGAGGAGCAGGTCCTTCAAGCTGCTTACAAAGACTGCTCAAATGGCAAAATATCTTCTGCGGTGCTTTCTAAAGCTAAAGCGTTCTGCAGTATCCCCAGCTCTTCTCTAAGTATATCCTTAAGTCTATCCCCTGCAAAATTCACTGAGGATTCTGCAAGCCAGAGGTGCCAGAATGATACTTCTGACCCTGGCAATCTCTCTTTGGGCGTAGGTTGCTAAGATGCACCAAGACAACACAGGAAAGGAACTCCAAGCTACCGAGTGATGTGAGATGTAGAGACATTGCAGTCATGCCTGACCTTGAAGAGTGCTTAAGCAGCTCTCATGCCAGTTCCTTGCTGCTGCACTTCAGCTTCCAGAGGTCTTCGGGACAGTACATTAATAGTAAAAAATCCCAGCATCGCCTAATTTTCATTACATCATTAAAGGAGGCAATGATCCAGAAAAGCAGGTAGATGGGGATYGATATGAGATATCGTATTGATATCGTGCATATCATCAATATGCAGAAATAATTAGGAAACCACAGTGAGAAAAACAGCTGAACGAGGGSTAGGGCAAGTGTTCACACTGATCAAACACAAGTTACCGACTCCTGATGTACCTGGGACACCAAGTTAACATGCCCAGCTTCTCCAGCAACGGTTACGATTCTTTCTGAGGGCACAAGTGCTCAGCACATGGACCTGAAGCCCGTGAAGACCAGAAGAAAGGGCAGAAGTTTCTAGCCATACGATTTACCTCTGGACAACCCAGTAAGCGGCGCTTCTGCAACTGGCCACGTTTTCTCCTTGTAGCTGCAAAGCCTCCCCACGTTTCATGACGAAACCACGCGAACACGCCCGTGCCACTGCTCACAGGAGCAATGCAGGTGTATTCGTCAAGTGGATTTTAACCCGCGCGTTGCAGATAAGCAAAAAGGCAGCTCACCAGGCGGATGTTGTCTTCTGGGCGGAGCAGGATGAACATGGCCTGCAGGTGCTGCTGGAGATCCCCTGGGGGAAAGAGAGAAAGGTAAGGGCACAAAAACAGTCTTACGTCACATGCAAGCTTCCTGGCTTGTGCAGCCAGAGCAACTCTATACCAAGAAACCTGACATGTCATCATAAGCATTGCCACTTCCACCCACCCGGAGATGACAAAGCTCCTCTCTGCCTCTTAGTCAGCTGCTCCTTGCTCTGTGCGCTCACCTGTTCCCGTTAACCACGCTCTTTCCTAACTCCTGTTACCTTCTAAAAGGAGGAGGAAGTGTTTCGGTATCATTTTCTCCTTTAGAAGCCAAGGTAAGCTGGGCGGAAATGACTCCCGTCCCATGATGGTTCAACCCCCAATCCTACCATGTGTTTCACCAAGCCAGGAATCTTCCACCGGTTTCACGCTGACATTTAACCTATTGCACAACTCCCGCCTAGACAAAAGTACTGCCTTCGATGAGATTCAGTCCGAGCTCAGTGCACCACGTGCTCTTATCTGCTTACGTACCAGCCCCACCTAAAGATCTCTTTGCTGCACAGGCTTTGCAGCATCACATGGTCAGTGGTCAGCAAGGGGTTCCTCTGCTAAACACATCACTCCGTGAGTGTCAGGAAGCTGCAACACCTCCAGCAGCAGGCTACTTTTCCAATCATTACCTAGGAAATTAATTTGCGTTCCCAGAAAGGCAGGGAAGGCTGCCAGGTGGCACCGAGCAGTAAGAGGAGGAGTCTTTGCCACCTTCTCTCCCTGCTACACAGATGGGAAGTTGAGCTTAGGTAACACTGCAGGGAAGGGCAAGATTGTTGGAGAAGGTATCCAGCACAAGGCTTCATGGACTTCCGAAAATAAGGAGATACTGGGCATGGAGCAGCATCCAAAATTGCCACATAAGGGAAGTGGAAGAAAAGAAACRCTGGCCAGTGAGAGCATCCTACCCAGCTGCCAGATGATTTTAGAGCTGATGGAAGTGCAGGGCTGCAGAGCGGCCGCTGCCTCTCTCCTCTTGGGACAGGCACGAGCCTGTGTGGAGAGGGCTGTGCAGGACGGAGCAATCCCTGCTCTGCCCTCCCTTCTGCCTTGAAACACATGCGAAACACTCYGGGACTGGAGGGTGGAGAGGCCGGAGAGGAAAAAAGAAATGGAAATGGGCAGTGTGAGGAAAGTCACACACAAGCACGGAGGAGCTGAGAGCACCTGGAGCAACTTCCCAGCCAAGGCTGTTGTCCTCAGTGCTGGAGCAGCTGGCACTCGCCTCCATAAGTGACAATTATCCAGAGGACAGTTAAGGCAGGAAGGGCCACCTCAYCCATGGGATGTGTCATCTCCCAGGGGTGCAGTGGGAACAGGATTTTCCCGTGTCAACATCTGGGCAAAATCTCGGCAATGACGCCCTGTTGCAGCAGGTTTCAGACCCTCACGCAGCGGGAATCAGGGAAGGGCGAGTTCAACATAAAGGTCCTCGTGCTCCAGGTGGCCGCTCTGGCCGACAGCCCGGAGCTCAGGACCACCCTGGAGATGGGCACGGGCAGCTGCTGCCTTATCTAGTCAGTCAACCCACCAATGATTTCTGAAGGTGACACAATTAAAGAGAGGGGTTTGGGTGCCCATTATTCCCTGCCACACATTTCCTTTTTCTTACGCTGGATTATGCACTTCTGACGAATTTAGAGGTKGGAAAGGCGAGGGACCCTTCCTAGATACTGTTCTAGCAGCCACCTGAAACTCCATAGCATCCACAGGCAGCAATTTCACACTGGAAAGCTATGCCCACTCCCCACCCCCTTCCAATTTTGTGTGCCAGAGCCCAGTCACATGATGCTCACAAGGGAACAAAAGTTGAGCACGGATTATCAGAGGCCAAGAAAGGAGAGTTTTCTCTACCACAAACCACCCGAGCTCCCTGCGGATGGCTGGTTCACCTCTCTCCATCACTCTTAAATTGGGGTAGCACAGGCATTTTGCTTGGGAAGGAGACAGGCTGATCTCTTGATATCTGCTGGCACATACTGCGTGTTAGAGAAGTTTACCGAGAAAGAAACGTGATGCACGTTCTTATATTAAAGCCACTTGTCAGTGGTATCTCCAAGTGCCTTAAATACTGTACTGTTAATATCATTTAACAAGCTAGGACGTTGAGGAAGGAAGTACTGATGCCATGCTAAACCTCACCCCTTACGTTGAAGAGACAAGAAGAAAAAAGAACCTTCTAAGAACAAAAATCCCACCCCTCAGGCAAGACAGCCTCTCTGAATACAGAACATCTTGCTGTAAGCAATTACAACAGAGCAGATTTGCTTTCCTGGCAGCCTGGCTTCTCAAAGCCCTGTGCTGATTAGACAAGAGACTTTGTTTTCCACCAGGCTCTCCAGAGCTCAGGCAAGTCAGCTGCAGGATCCCAGGAAGCAGAGGCACTCCATGCTGCCATGCACATTCTCTGCACACATGCACATTCCTTGTGAACAAGAACACACTTCTTGGTAAAGGACAGAACTGAATTCAGAGTCTCTGATTTGATCTCTGCCCCATATGCAAGTCTCAAATATTCATTATTATTTTTTTCCTGGTGGTTGTTTACTGTAAGGGAAAAACCCCACGCTATCTGATCCATGTAAAGCACCATCCATGAATAAGCACCACATGCACAGGGAAAAACAACCTTCCCTGAAATGTTTGAGTTTCATTATTCAGACTGACCTTTCAAACAAAGAATCAAAGCACAAAACAAATTAAACTCCAGGAGATAAAGGGGCAGAATTCTGACTACCCCGTATTATTCACACCATTCGCAACTCAGACCAGTCACCCTCACTGGCTCAGAGCTAAGTTCCTCCCTTTCTTCCATCCTCAGAGGTTCAGATCAGGAAGGACTGTTACTCACCCCATAACTTAACTCGAGTTTCTCCGTGCAACACACACAGGTTCTGAGCATGACCCTCCATCCCCGCTCTTGCACAGAAACCATGGGATGAGATTCTGAGCGACACAGCACCCCTGTTCTCAGCTCTCCATGGTGTCACGGCTGCTGCCATGAGGTCATTCATTCATTTCATTTTGATAGACAAGGGAGGGCTATTTTGTCTCTTCCAGCTCAGAATTTCACACTTTGGCGATGGGAATGCCCAGTTTCTGTTTGACACAAGGCGTGCACTAAAGCACCTTATCTGGTGATAAGAACTTGGAAGAACTTCTTTACTGTGAGGGTGACAGAGCCCTGGCACAGGCTGCCCAGGGAGGTTGTGGACTCTCCTTCTCTGGAGGTCTTCCAAACCCRCCTGGATGCCACCCTGTGCCACATGCTCTAGGTGTGCCTGCTTGAGCGGGCAGGTTGGACTAGATGATGTCTAGAGGTCCCTTCCAACCTTGGATATTCTGCGATTCTGTGATGTGGTGTGAGAGAAGCCAAGGAAGGTGCATGGAGAGGYGGAGCGCGCCGAGGAGCCGCGCGCTTACCTGCGTGCTTGTTGCGCCGGTGGCTGATGCGCGGAGTCGAAGACCCATTGCCCCGCGGCAGGAAGAGCGCGGCACCTTTCACAGTGAGGAAGCTTTCGCTGATGCTGCAAGGGAAGGGACAGACAGTGAACAGGGAGCTTCACAGAGCTGCTTTTAGAGGAGAAAAACAAAAGGAAAAGACAAGGGCACAGGAAAGGTTCCACTCTTTCAATGAATGATCTGTTGTTCTGYAAAGAAGATATTTAGACCCAAAATATTTTGTGGCTAAAGGACACTTTTCTTCTTCTTCCCTCTCAAAGATGTATTGCAAACATTCAAAACAGATGGGCCGRGATGGGTCCTGCTAAACCTGGGCCTTGTGGCTCAGATCCGGCTGACACCTCAYAGGAACAAAGGTCTCCCTTCAGCAATTAGGGCGAGCAGAGTCAGTGGGCATGACAGGGTATGAGACCATGAAACTACCAGCTATGAATCATATGCTAAATAACCCACAAAGACTTTGATAAATTAAAATTGGAACACTGCCAACTTGAGACGTCTTATTTTGCCCCTTTATTCAAGTCAGATGAGGAGGCAAGTTGGTGGAAAGGGGCAATAAAGAGTTTGCAAGATCTGAAGAACAACTGATGTTTCCACAAGTCTTCAGGAGCTTTCTTCAAGTGGCTCATGGAAGAAGGGGGATTCTTTCCACACCCTGCAATTAAGTGATGCTTTTGTACGGCCCAGGGTTCCTGCTTTTCTCAGGATAGATGAGGTAGCCAGGCCTGCTYTGAAGAAAGGCAGGTTAATTCCCAAGTAACAGGATGGTCACGGAAAGCGGCAGGAGAGGACAGGGGAGTYCCTGGCACCATGCGCCTCTCTGGCTCCATGAAGATGCTGGTTTGCCCTCTTGAGCAAACACGCACCAGGAAGCTCTTAGTTCCTTGCTCTACTTACGGCTGATTAATCCTTTCCTTCAGGGCAAAGGAAAAGGAAATTATAATAGAAGAAAAAAAGCCCCTCCATATATGTGAAGAAACCCTGAGTTACAAAAGGCAGGTAGGCACCAGAACGCACCATGTCACCCCTTCCCRGTGCCAGGAACCCTCCCCGGGACCTGCTCGGGGCCACGCAGGGCTCAGCAGGTGACAGAGCTCCCCAATGTCCCACGGACCAGGAATCGGCACGGCCGGAGCGTGTGGGCTTCCCGCTTCCTCATCCGAGGCTGAATGCCCCRCAAGGGGTTTTGCTTGGTACCTTTTTCTATCTGCATGAATTACAAAAGCGTGTGTCAAATCTGGCTTCCCCTCTAACCTCAAGCACATTCCTGGGCACCTCTCCATTCTCCTGGGAGGCAGGAGAAAAAGAACCTCCAAATTCTCTGAGCTCCAGATAAGCAGATGCACACTGATAAAGGATTTTCCCCCTCCTTTTAGGCCTGTGGCATATCCCAGTGTGCAGGCTGCAGTGTCTGTCATAACCTCAGCACCCCTGCCCCGTGACAAAGTGTCTCCCAGGACTCTTATTTTCTAAAGYTACAGCAGATGTTAAACTTTCAGTGGATGCTTTAACAAAGCGAGAACTAAGAAAACCCACCTCCTTCCTAAATTAAAATGGATCAGAGACTTTTCTCTATGCTAAAAACAAACCCCAAACAAACACAAAAATAAAGCCATYGGGCACACTGAGCACAGATGTTTCCCCGTGGGAAACATGGCCCCTTCTCATGCCAAAATTCTTGATCAAGCCTCTCTAGATCTTGGCCACAGATGCACCCTTTGCAAGCCCTCGAGCTGCACAATTCCTTGAAGCCTGGATGCTACAGAAACACGGAGCTCTCGAAGGCACCCACTTCACCAGATCTTCACCCTCATTTAGCCCATAGGTTCCCACCCAGCAGTGGCCTCTGGGTTTGGAGGAGCACTCCCAGGAGCGGCTAAGAGCAGGCTCTGCATTGCAGGGGCGCTTCCAGAGACAAGAAAATCAAGGCGAAAGTCGGCAGGCACCCCCTCCTGTTCCCTTTTCCTCTACAAATCCCCCCCAAACACATTTCAAGCTCACGGGAGGCCAAACAACAGCGTGGTCACAGTCAACTTTCATGTAGCTAATCCCACCATCAAAGCCAGCCAGCAATGTTAGCAACCCTTCAGCCTGTGCCCGAGGCTTCCCCGGAAGGCTGAATTAGCAACTTATTTCTAGTAAATAAAGCAGCATGTGGCTAGAGGGCTGAGAGGTTAAAAATCTTCTCACTTCCATCACTTTCTCCTATCATCAGCTCTCTGCTATCAGCCACCTGCCTGAACTGAGGACCTGCTGCAGCACTAGAGAGATTCCTACCAGGTCCATCCTCCCGCGGAATCACCTTCACCAAGGCTACCAAGCACCTTGTTTGGGGACATGAACCACAAGCTTGAACTGCTAAGGCTGGAACTAAAAAGCAATGTCATTTCTGACATGAAKAGTCCAAAACGGATCCTTCTCATCGAGCTGGGAGGCCAAGAAGACAAGACAAGACTCCCTGCAAGGTGGGAATGAGTGGAGATGGTCATCAGCATGGAGAGGAAAAGAGGCAAGAGAGGAGCRCAAGAGCAAATGGGAGCAGCGTGTCTGGGATGTGCACGCCTGGACAKGGCCTTGCAGAGGAGACAGAGGCACGGATTGCTCCTCGCTGGCACTGAAAGCTTCTCCTCTCTACGTGTCTTCTGGAGGCAAGTCCCGGTACTGCTGCGGCTGGGATGACGGGAAGAAGCGGCACAAGGTCACGCTGGGGTTGCCCAACCGAGCGCTGCCGAAGGGAAGCGGGTCCAGGGTCGCAGTCGGGAGCCGTCGAGCACCCGCGTGTGCCCGGCCAGGGCGAGCGGTGCCCGCGAGGAACCGAGTCCTGGGTGCCTGGCTCCTTCCCCGGGTTGGAGGGCAGGTTTCTGGCGCCTCCGGAGCCTCCCTGGAAGCCRCGGCGGGCCGCAGGGAGGAGAGCGCACGTGCGCTTCCTATGAGATCAATATCTCCTCCACATTTCATATCTTATCTATTGCCCTGTTAGATCAAGCTCCTTTAATCTGTGGGTTAAAAAACCCACAAAACCAAGGCGGAGACCAAAACCCAGAGGTTGGCATGGATGGTCGGCTCTTCCGARGGTCCCGGAGCGGGCGCCAGGACTCACCCTGGCAGAGAAGCAGCTTCAGCTGCACGTGGTGGGAACAGAGGAACTTCCCCATCCCCAAACCCAGGAGCCTCTTATTTTTCTCAGCACCTCAAGCTGTTTCCATGCACATTCCTTCCTCCTGCTCCAATGGGATCAACCCACCCCTCACACCAGGACCTAGGCAGAGCTGGTTTTCCTGCACACACTCTTCCCAAGCCACGGTTTTAAGGAGAAAAGTCTCCATTCCTGTGCTCTGCTCCCTCTGAACCCTAAGAAATGAGGGTCTCGATAGGGATATGAATATTTGGGAACTGTTCCTTGAGGAAAATCTAAATCATCATTTTGCTCCTTGTGTTTTCAGGGGGAACAATTAACTATCCCTTTGTCAGGATACGCTTTTCCAATAARCATCCTCTCTCTCTCTCCCTTGCCTGCTTTTTAAGGCACCCAGTTTTAATTATTGCTTATGATAAGACTATTAATGAACGACCTCAAGGAAAGCAATATTTGACTTCCAGTTGAAGCCTCTGCTCCTTAGGGGATGATGCTGGCACCTGGTTCTGTTCAGGTAGACAGGTAGACAGGTTCACAGGCCATACAAACCTCTTCTTATCCCCACTAATTTAATAAATAAAGAGTCAAACACCCCAACAGGGAAAGGGAAGCGGGCAGGAGAGCTCGGCAGCGCCCTGCGCTGACATTTGTGCTCGCAGGGTCAGCTGGCAGCACCATGCGGACAAGCCCGGGCCTCTCTGACACCAAAATAGAACCCAACGTGGAGCAAAACAAGGTCCCGAGGTGGGCTCGGGAACTCGGTCAGCAGGGCTGAGAGGCCCGGGGCAGAGGGCAGGGTGGCCCGTGGCTCTCCAAGGCCATCGCTGGCCACGCGGCGCTTCCGCGTGTTGCAACGTCTGCATCTTCTTTCCCACTCCCTCTTCGGAAAGGAGCTGCCTAGGGGCACTTCCCTGCTCCAAGGTGGAGCTTGGTGCACAAGCCCAGAGGCAGCTAAACCACGGGAAGGTCTGCAACCTGGCGGCCTGATCTCMTCCCAGCGATGTATTCCGCCTGGCTTTGGTCTCTGGTTTGGGCACCGGGGTCCCCTCGGGTGCACCCCGGCAGCGCTGGCGTTTGTTCATCACAAACACATGAAACCTGCTGCTTTTCTCCACACTGAGCCCGCGTGCGTCGCTTCCTGCCAGCGCCTCGGCCGGGAGCAACTTCCTCCTTCTGGGACACGCTCCGTCCCCGCCGCTGCTCACAGGGACATCCTGCTATGGAGGAGGGGACACGGAGGAGGGGACAAAGACCTTTCCAAATGAGGGGTTCAAAGAACAGCTATTCGGCAGTGAAATGCACCGATTCCACATGCAACCCAAAACTTCATTCACTCTCCACCTTGTCACGTAACACGAAGGAAGTCCCAAACATCAGAGGGCTTTTTGCTGACTGATGGTCAGTTACGGAGCCAGCTTTAGAAAACCCATCTGGGGAGGGGAAAGCAAAATATGACAAAAAGCAACAGAAAAACAAGTTGTGCAAACAAAGCTCTCGAGCGCTCCGCAATCCAGCCCTGGAGGGATACACAAATTGTTTCTCTCGCAGTCCAGGCAGGACAGTTCCAGGCGGGAAACAGGGCGGCGGACACAATTCGAGAGCTTATTGAGAAATCCGGGCACTCAATGTTTACAGAAGAAATTTGATTCAGTGCATTTTTCTAAGCAAGAGATCCAGAGCGGAAGCAAGGCTGTGAGGAGAATTTGTTTTACATGATAGTCCCCAAAGGCTTGCGGGTCTCCGAGTCAAGATATTCCCAGATTATAGCCCTGCAGGACATTCTTCTGGTGCCATATATTGTTCAAACATCCACGGTTGCTGGTTCATACCATGATTTAATGCTCACGGAGCATTAAAGGCTCACGGAGCGGGCACTTGCGCCCAAGGAAAGGCTCCATGGGGTTCTGCTGCCACGCGTGCCACGCTCCG